ACAGAAATCTTAGGAGATGGAAGAAATTTGTTTAAAGTTAAATTTGTTTCAAAACCACAGAAGGATCTTGTGTGGAATGCTCAAAATGACATCAAAATGACATTTCAATCACATATCCAAACTGACATTTTATCTATGCTATTTTTTTTTTTTTTTTGCACAAATGCAAAAGACCCTCTCCAATGGACTGGCTATGATACTCAGACCATTAGACAGTTCTAAAGCTGCCAGTTCAGAATCTCACATCATAAAATGAAGCTGAGTTTCATTCTATCAGTTCCATCCACATCATAAAAATAATGTTCAAGGTTCTTCTAGAACCCTTGAAGAATTTTCAGCAAAGACTTATCTTACAGTTTATAAATTGAGTTAATATTATGACAAAAACTTATTACAGTGAAAATAATATTCTTATATTTAGCTCTTTGGGAATAAAAGCAACACTGACATATACAATATTGCTATGTTATCCAAAAGACTTGTGATTTTAAAATCACTGTGTCATCCCACAACACGGCTAATGTTTTCTGTAATTCTTTTTTAATCGCACATTTCAGAATACAGGATAAGTCACTGAAGTGCTTTCCCCACATTATTTTGCAAGTATACTGCTGTTCATTGAAAGATTAAGTACAAGTGGAACATCAAGAGGAGCAATCAAGAGTTGATTTTGTATGCTTGCAGCAAGCTTGAAAACAAAAAGCCTTTAAACAATCATCAGTGATTTTGCTGTAGTTTCACTTACATAGCCTGCAAATGCAAATCAATATAGTGTATCTTCAATGCTGCATATTTTACTCTAAAATTTGAGGCTTGTTATATTTGATTGTCTATAGATTTGTAGACTATTACTGCACATCTACAGAATTTATAATTGTTATATCTGTGCTTTGAATTCTTAGTGTTTACTTGTCAAATTAAACATTTATATTTACCTGCAGTTCTATTTGTTAAGGATATGACCATAATCTTGGATATAATCATCTAAATCATGATTAAAAAACCAGAAGCCAATACACTTGTGCTGGTTAGAAACAGAGTGAATTCAGCATGAATTTATCTTCTCCCAGGGGAAAAGGGCATTCTTAATGCCTGTGAGTTTTCAGTAACATTAAGCCATCATTTTATGCATTTCCATAAGTGGAAATCACTTTTCCATTTCAATTTGAAAATACTTAGTTTTAAAGTTTAGTTTTAGAGCTTAGTTTTCTAACATAGATTGAAGACAAGTGGGGAAAAAAACCGAACCAGAACAGATAATCAGATAGTCTTCTGATTTAATTGACCCAAACAAATTCCTGCCCTATTATTCATGTTTTAAGTTGTTTTTTGTGGGGTCCTTGTTTGTTTGTTTGACAAAAGGATGAATGTCCTTATGTAAAGAAGCACTTCTGTATCAGATCTGGTTTTTGCTTTTTTTATTGCACGACATCAGACCCTTAGAAATTCTTACTCACAGAATGAAAACACACTGACACATATTATTTCTGAAAAGAGACTTCTGAGGATCTACTCTAAATCCACAGATGCTTAAGTGTTCCTGTACTATGTCTGAAAGCCTAAAACCTGCACTTACATTGTTCCTATTAGCAACTAGATACATGAAATACTATTTTGATTTATTTCATGGAAACAAAAGCTCATATCCATAACCCATCTACTTTATCCATGGCTTCCCTCTCTGGGACACTGTATCCCTATTTGAAATGTACTGCTGACTTTTTCTCAGGGAAATTCTGCAGAAAAAGAAGAGTTTGCACTTTTGAGACTAGAGTGCGTGGGAGACAAACTGGTCATGTACAACAGCTGCAGCCAAGTTATTTGTGCTCTAAAATAGGCCAGACGGACTTAGAAAAGAAATGTGCAAAGAAAAAAAATTGTTTGCTGAGGTGTTACTGCAGCAGTAAAACCACTATATATAGCTTGCACAGCCTGTGAATGAACACTCTTACAAAAAACTAAAAAAAAAAAAAAATTCACAGAAAATACCTGAGGATTTATTTTATCTTTTCTCAGGGGAACTGTGTTTCCCTATTTGCTATTATTGATCTTTTTATGAAACCTTGCATTTTTGGTTTACTGTAATTGAGAAAGTGAGTGAATCATGCTCTGAAACCATAAAGGTTCATATACTGTGAGTGGAAAATAATTAACTAATTAAAAATGGTTCATATAGTACCTCATGAGTCACATCTTGTGCGTAATATGATGCCAAGTCATCACATGCAGTGCTTAGCTCTTGAACTCTATTTGTCTCCATTTGTAAAAAAAGTGAGCCTTATGCCAGATTCCCAAATCATGCAGAAATTTGAGAGCCCAATCTTGTTTTTTCCCCAAATCCACTGTGTAACATTGCCCATTTTTGGTGTTATCCTCCCCAGTTTGATAAATTATGTTAAATAGCATTCCTAAATGTGGCTAAAACAGCACTGGAAGTTCTTGAAAAAATGTTTTACTAGCCCAGAGGATAGCAAGTTTCTTAACTATGGTAAGTTAAGAAACTCAGTAACTCCAAAAGGCTGCAATTCCAAAGTGGAAAGAAGTGTGACAAATGCCATACTTATTGGCAGATCCAATTTTAGTATATGTCTTTCAAAGCTACCATAATGTAATACAAAAATGTCTCCCCTAATTTTTTTTTCATCATGTGATGCTTCATTTCCAAATGAAGATCTGTTGTGTCTTTTCTGAAAGCCAGATATGTACAATATACAAGTTTAGTCATAGAGTGAGCTGAACAGGTTACATTTTTGTAAGCTTCATGTTAAAACATTAACAAGCTATCATTATATATATTATCTGAGGTGCAATTATCTTTTATGACCTTTTCAGTGTATTCCTGTTATATCTTTTAATACAGAACAATTACTGTCAATTAATGGTTGCTGATGAGACAGGCAAGCCATGTTAGATTGCAAGTATCAATGCAAGGAGCCTTGTTACTTTAAGCACAGATCCAGATGATTCATTAAAAAGTTCTAATGAATAAAAAGGCAATAAGCATGAATTTTGATATAGAATGGTATAGTACTCAGGAAGCTACACTACTAATAATCCATGCTATCCTTAAATTCTCTGACTGCATGAATCATTTTACTCAGAAACAGCGGGGGAAGAAATTGCACTTCACTTTTGTGAAATGGCTCTATGGCAACTGAGCAGAGAAGTATTTGTGTTAATTCTTCTACTGAATTTACTATTGAGTAGCACAAGAGTTATTTCATCATCCTTTCAATGTTCTTAATCTCATTAGAATTGCCTAAGAAGCTGCATCATGGAACAATCTTAAAGTGAATTTGTTCTCCCTACACAGAACATACATGACTGAGATACACTCTTTTATTTTATAAAAGAAAACCAGTAATTTGGAGGTTAAACCAGCAGTATTCTCTCTGCTTAAGCATCTCAAAACAACAGCAATACAATTCTTACTGTGAATTCTGTATACACTCTGCTATTTTCAGATTCGAAGAGTTGCAGTACATTATTTTTTGTGACAGCTTAGTTCACAGCATTATATTTTGCCACAGAAATTTAGGACCTGAGCCAAAATGGAGGCAGTGGAAACATTCCCATTGACGTCAGCGAGCCTTGGATAAGGCCCCAGACAGCTAAGGCCTAGGATTGTCAACTTACAATTAATGTAATTAATGCATCTACACTGGCCCTAGAGCAGTCCAGGCATAAAATTCCTCTTTTGCTGTTAGAATTTAACATCTTTTATGAGGAACTTTGAGAAAACACACATTAAAAAGGGAAGAAAAAAAAAGGCGGGGGGGCGGGAGTGGAGAGGGGGGGCAGGAGAAGAGAAAGGAGGAAAATATCTACAGGTTTTTGAGGATAAACCAGAAGCTTATACTCAAGCCTCTATACTCACTCAACTGTTAATTGTTGATCTCTAATATAACAGAATAATAATATTCAGCAATGCAATGCCAGTTGATACAAAGGTAGTTTCCATTCACAGTTCATGGCTGCTCCATGGGTCTGAAGCCTTTCTCAATTAAACTAAGGTGTCTAAAAAGAAAGGAGGAGTCTGAATCTAGAGACTGAATTACAGTGATAACAGTAAAATAAGCATTTCAGTTTGTAAGGGAGTTGTTTCTGATATTTTAATGTTTATTACAAGTATTTTTGAGGGGTTGAAAAAGGTAACTAATGCAGTGTGTCTTATAGAGGATAACTAGCTAATATTGCAGGCAACAGCTTCAGTAAAACTACCAAAGTGAACAGTCAAAACTTATACTGTTTCCTTATTGCTTTTATATTCTAAGCCTTTTTCTTTTTACATAATAACATGCTTGGGCTCTCTACTTCATAATTTGAGCTTCCATTTATTTCTTTTTGCAATGTTTTATGTCACTTATGTTTAATTCTGTAAAAAAGTGCACTTATTTTTCAGTTAATTAAGTATTATATCTTTGTGGGAAAGACACATTGTTTCAATGGATTGCAACTCATAAGTACCTAGTACTCATACCGAGATCAGTCACAGTTACATGTCACAATAATGTTATGTATGATTAATACTGAATGATTAGTTCATAGGTTTGTTTCAATGAAATATTCCCAATATTAACATATTCTAGTACTTCCTCAGACACTTATGAAATTTAAAACCCCCAACTCATTAGTACATATCAAAGCCATAGTAGGAAGGTTGATGTGATGAAAGCATTTAATCAGATGTTCACATAAACAAGCTAATGAACATCTGAGCCATTTTTATGATTGTAACAGAATATTTAGTTTGAATGAATAAATGTCTTTTGTACATTAATTACTCATTTCATATAGAAGGCAATTTTATTTTACTGTGTTGCACAGAAAATCATACTGGTAGTAATATCCATTTCAAAGAAATAGTTGGTTTTGTAAAGTCTTTACTTACCCTGTGGAGAGTAGCAAGTTTCAGGAAATGTTTTAGGCTCCTGAAGAATCTGAGAAACATCTGCTTCAATGAAAATATTTTCCTTCTGAAATGCTGAACATTTAGCACTTACTCATAGGCATTTCATAGCTGTAAGAGAGAGGGGATGATAAAAATCAGTCTTAACTTGGGAAAAATAGTTTGACTTATTGTTCTTGACTACAGAAAATTACAGTGCAAACGTAGGGGAAAAAGTGCATGTTGCAAAATGGGATAATGTTAGAATTAGGGTATTTAGGAGTACATCACTGTATACCCATCTCAGTAGTATAGGATATTATGTATGTCACTAAATCAATGCACAATGTCTTTGACAATATAATGAAGGAAATAGAGTCGCTTTCGTCATTTTGTCTGTGGATGAATCAGCCAGCTAGCTTCCAACACGACAAGCAAAACCAGTTGGAATTAATAACTTTTCTAAGAAAAGTGATTTCCTGAATTTGGGTATAGTTCCAGCAAATTCAAAGTTAAGAAAAAAAAGAGGGAGTGAAAGGAAAAAAAAATAAGCCAAGTAGGTAGGTGAGTTTAAAATTGTATTTTTTTCATTTGACATTTTCAGAAGAAAATATTTCAACTTAAGTATGTTTTTATTTCTAAACTGTTTAACTTCTGAAGTATATTAGAAATTATCCAAATAAATGCAAATATTTCCACTCTATCTGAAAAAGATGCTCAGTTACAACTGTAATTTTTTCCTTCTTCATCATGCAACATTTCTGTACCAGCCACTGAACCAAAACAGCTATTTGAAAAGATCTTCCCTTCAGTTTCTCTAGTGACTATTAGCTGATAGTGGAATGATCCTGCCCCCACTGTCTGAACTAGGCTGAAATACCGAGGTAGGGACTGGTGGGATACAGACACATATAAAACAAGGAATCCTCTGTGTGGTAAGGAAAATATCTGGATGCTTCTCTAAGTGTTTATAATAGCACAAATGAAGACAGAAAGTGAACACACTTGTTGTCTTCATCCTTCTCACTGTCTCTCAGTTTGTCTCCCTGCAGAACTGAAATCTGATTTTGCAATGTGAAAGGCACAATACCTTTCAAATATGATGGAAGAATAATAATAAAAAAAAACCACACTGAAACAACAAAAAAACCCCAAACCCATAGAATTTCTAGAAGAATGGTTATCAAGAACCAAGTGTACTCTATTACTGTCTGATCCAGCTGAAAAACCAAAAGCTGCTGAAAAACCTCTATATGTGAGTTTATAAAAGCTTGAATATTTTATATACATTTAGGAAAAAAGCTGGAAGCTTTTCAAAAAGCTGGAATCCATGTAGAAAAGAGCAAAGCAGCTTTAAATATCTAAGGGACACAAACAATAAATTTTCCATGATGATGACTGCATTGACACCTTAGAGCAATTTAGAAAATTATTACCTATTTAATTATTTTGAAAGAAGTTTTTTTCTTTTTTTTTTTGTTTTTGCAATGTTGAATTCATCCTATGAAACATTATTTATGTATATAACAAATGACTAAATGACTCACTAAAGAAAATGAGTGTTTCGCCACTTTCAGGGGGAAATACAATAAAGTGAAGATTGTGTTGAAGAAAATGCATTAATACACAAACAATGTGATCTTAAGCTCCTTAAAAAAGGGCAGAAGAGAGAGAAAACTTCTGCATCTGGAAAATGGGAATACCAACAACTCTCTTCCAACTAATATTACTGATTAGCCAGGAAAGATAAGGGATCTCCTCTCACATAAAAGAATTAGGAAACCTGAAAAATATATCCCCAAGCAGACACTGCACAGTATTTCTTAGCAATAATATGTATTCAATAATCTGGGACAGGATTTGTAATGGTCCTGTTTCCCACCTGAAAAATGAATCTGGTGAAGAGAAACATGTTCAATCAAACATCTTGTTTTGGTTTACTAGCCATTGTCTCAGCCCCTGTTCACATGAATGTAACATCTCTGAGATATTAGATACCTCAGAAATAGTCTATGTTCCATAGCCAGAGTGCAAATTCAGTAAAAGAAGAGTAATTAGCAAGTTTTTACAAACATGGGTCATGTCAATTTATTTAGAATCTTTGTCTTGCTTGCATTACCTTTTTTTAAATAGAATTTTAATTTCCACCATTAAATATAAATAAAAATTAAAAAAAAATTAAAAAATGGGTTCTCCTAAACTTCTCAAGACCAAAATATCAGGTTATTTATAGGTATTTTAACATATAGAATAGGTATTTTTCTGATTATTTTAGATGTCTTGAGTATATTTTTTGCTGGAGACATGACTGACTTCAGCATTTATTGTCTGGTTTTACTGGTTTTCAGAGTGCAACTGATGTTTAGCAGCTCTAAATTCCCTTAAAAAAGGGATACAGAAAAGATTTCCATAAAGCTACTTTAATTCAATTCACTCTCATTTCTAGACATTTCCCATAAATCTATCTGACAGTGTCCTTGCATTCTGTTACCATTCTTAACAGGTGAAATCATTATAAATCCTGGATGTTCAAACTGATCTGAACCCTGTAGTTAAGGTCAGCTGACAATAGAGGAAATCAATAAAAAACAAATGAAGAAGACATGGATTTTGTCTAATTGGCTCATGTTTCCACAGTATGTGACAGAATGATCTTGAAAATGCAAAACTCAAACACTGTTATAAGTCTACTGTTGCAAATGGTTTATTTTTTCTGCTGTTAAAAAAAATATATATTTTTTAAAATAACCGGCTCCATAGTAATTATAAAAAAAACCAGGATAGATCCTAAGGAGATTAAGCAGCATAAAACATATATATTTTCTTGAAAAAGAAGATATTACATTGTATTTGATATTTTCATGCTCAGTGAGTGATTGTGGTCACTTCTTCAGAATTAAATTAACCGAGCTCTGTGAACTGACTGCTACAGATGAGAGAATCTGACAATTACAAATATATGAAATGGGAGTAGTCATTAAGAGACATGAGGATGTGAGTCCAGTACTCCAGGAATTTCTCTACTCCAGGAGAAGAAACAATAGGAGTACATCATACCGCAGTCAATGACTTAACCTCTTTTGTGATATTGTGCTTTAGTTTCTTTAGCAAAGGGCATTAAAGGCCTTAGAGGCATTCAATTCTTATACACTTAGCAATTATGTGGGATTATGAAGATTTTTTAAATTATTGTTATTATTTTTCATACATAAATTGGGGAAACCCACATATATTGTCAAACCTTTGACACCTTTAGAGACTCCACTTGGTTCCCTACTAAACCTTTAACGCTTGAACTGGTTTTGTTGCCTTTTCTCCTTTGCTCTCCTGCATGACATTATGAAATCACTGACCAAACATTTGGATCCATCTGCAAAAGGACATTTAATAAAATTAAAATGAACTAAGTGAAAGTGTAAACTGAGCTGCATCATCCAATTCTTACATTGCTGTTTATTTCGCACAAAGGTTTACTTGACTAAAATAACTCAAAACCATGCTTCTGGAAAGGAATGTCCATTCAGATGTAATAGACTGCAATCTAACTTCACACCTTTGGCTAATTCTTCCTAATTTCCCCAGTGTCTCTGTTTGGAAAAATATCCTGGAGGCACACTAATCCTTGAATCAGCTACACAATCTTTGTAATACAAAATTGGCTACATGCCTGGAACTTCTGGTCTCTGATTTTCTCTTTCATGCAGCATTTTTTCTTCTAATATTCCAGACAAGTAAAGTCCAGATGTTTTCTGCTGTTTAAGAAAGCAAACACAGGACACCCTTAGGCATTTAGTCTTGTACTTACCAAAGTTCCATTAAATTCAGTCTATTTCATTTGACAATCATAGGTACTGTTTGTCTTTGGATTGCTTTTCAAATATTGGTTAGTACTTCAGGGCTTGCCTATCTTTAAATGGAATAGGGCACTGAATTACCATATTCTCCATCACTGATTTGTATATCTAGAGGATGCAGGGCTCGAAACAGTTAAACTGGTTACCCAACTAGTCAAACTGACTAATTGTTCAACCAATACAGGTACAGATTTTTATTACAACAAATACTGGTCCAAGAAACTATTTTTTCCTAAAAGTTACTACTTCCTATAGTAATTTATCAACTGCATATTTCAAAACAAGAAACTTTTAGAAAAAAAATTTGGTAAAAACTGACTTTAATACTTGTACAGCATTAAATTCACTTAACTTTCCTTCTCAGCCAGAGAATCTAAATGTCTTGAATAAATAATTTTAACTATCACTCCTAGTTATTTATAACCCAGCTCTATATTTCTCAGTAAAAAACAGTAGCTTTTTTGATCCTACAGGGCATATTTATTAAACAGGATGAAAGAAATTTCACTACCAAGTATGCCAATGCCACCATTTCATGCATCCTTTCTCTCTACAGTTTTTCTCCCTGTCCATCTATGTATTAGCAAACACTTAGGGAAACTAGCATTTTTTTATTTTGTTTCACACAATTACATTTGAACTACATCTTAATAATTTTTATGCATGATATTGCAATGCAGTAAGGGAATAATTTGGTGGCTTTCTGGATTAGGACAATAATCAGGAAGATGTATGCACTGGTAATATCACCTGTGGTCCAGAGACCTGGGCAAGACATGGTTCCCAAGACAGTGGGGAGCAATAGGTCCTCTTCTTCCTTCCTCCCCTTCCTTCCTTCCTGACTGCCTTCTCATCGAAAACTCCGGATGGGTTCCCACTGTAAAGTATGCAATTACAGAGGGTGGAAGTGCCACACTCTGTCCCCAACTCCACTCTGTCCTGCTGCCACAGAGCCCTGAGCAGCAGCCCTACCCCGCCCCAAGCCTGCTGCCCTTGCAGGGCTCCCTCCTGGCTCCCTTCTGCACAGCTCTGGCACAGCACAGTCGTCATAACTTTGTGCTTCCTGGTACCATTTTAGACAACTCTGGGATTTCTGTCTCTACCAGAAAAAATTACAAAACCCGAAAGCTGAAACTTGAACTTCTCAATAGTTTCAACAAGAAGATAATTAAAATTTTTAAATTATAGATTGAGCTTTTGAACAACTTATGAGGTGAGAATAATAGACTCTTTAAATTATTTCTGTATTTTCTTTCTTACCAACTTTTAACAATAATT